TATATAAGTTGTTAATAAAATGAGTCTAGGGTGTATAGTTACTCTTTCTAGGTTAAAAATTTTCTGTAAATCACAATTTTTTTTCTGCAAATCTAAGTGTATTCTAAGTAAAATGTTTATTTAAAATAGATAACTAGCTTTTTGAAATGAAAATAATGACATTGTAGTGTGTATATATAACATATGTAGAAACAAAATGTATGACAACAATAGCTCAAAGCCCAGGCAGGGAAAAGTGGGAGCATACTGTTTGAAGTTTCTAATACTGTAAGATAAAGGGGTTAATATCACTTGAAGGTAGCCTGGGGTAAATAAAAAACGTAGACTCTAAGCTCCAAAGCAACCACTAAAATAACAAAATAAAATAATAGCAAATAAACCAAAGAAGGAGCTCAAATGCTGTCTCTTGCATAATACTATATCCAAAAGAAGACCCCAAAGAAATAAGAAAGGAAATAAAACCAGATAGGGCGAGTAGAACAACAACAAGATGGTAGACTTAAATTAAAACATATCAATTATCGCATCCAATGTAAATGTTCCAAACACTCCAATTTAAAGGCAAATATTGTCTAATTGAAAAAAACAGGAAGAACCAACTATTTTTTGCCTAAAATACCCACATTATGTATGAACATACAAAGAAAAAGTAAAAAAAAAAAAAGATATTTGGAAACTAAAAATATTTGGGAATCTCAAATATCTGGAAACTAACTGTCTTCTAAAAAAACCTCATGGGTTAATGTTGAAATCATAGGGGAATTAGAGAATGTTTTGAACTGAAGAAAAAGGAAAACACAGCATATCAAAACACAGCCAAAGTAATATTTAGAGAAAAATTTGTAGGAAGAAAAATTTAAAAATCAGAGAGGCTTTCAATGAAATAAAAATAGAGAAACAATAGAGAAAGTAAATGAAACAAAAGACTGGATCTTTTACAAAATACATAAAATTGATAAACTTCGGTATAGACCAAAGCAAAAAAAAAGAGAAGAGGCACAAACTACTAATGTTAAAAGCTAGAGGCTTCACATCATTACAGGTTCTAGTACAAGGAAATGTTAAGAACTTTATGCCAGCAAATTTGACAACTTAGATGTAATGAACCAGTTTCTTGAAAGTCACAAACTACCAAAGCTCATTCAAGAAGAAATAGATAAACTAAATAGCCCTCTAATTTTTTAAGTTGATTTTTGTAATTACAGACTGTCTCACAAAGAAAAGTTCAGTCCCTAACAGTTTTCCTGGTGAATTCTACCAAACATTTAAAGAAGAAATAATATCAATTTTACATTAACTTTTACAGAAAATTTAATAGAAAGCAGGGAATACTTGCCATCTCATTCTGTAAGGCCTGAATTACCCTGATACCACCCCCTGCCCCCACCAAAAAAAGACATTATGAGTGTCTTTTAGTTAGCCTCTAGTACAGCAATACCAGGTAAAAATATGTTCCAATTTCCATTAGGAAACAAATAGGAAGGTCCTCTTTTAATTTTTAAAAATTCAGGCTTCCCAATATTATAATACTTATCCTTTTTATTCTATTAATTGAGAAAATATAAAGAAAATATTATTGTGATTCTAGAATTCTTCAAACTAAATTCTTATTAATACTTTTACATTTTATTGTGGTAAAATAGATATACCGTGAAATTTGCTACTTTAACCACTTTTAAAGTATATGACTCGGTATCATTAATTATATTCAGAATGTTGTGCAATCACCGCCACTATTTCCAAAATTCTTCATCACCCCAAACAGGAACTGTATTTATTAAGCAATAACTGACCATTCATTGCTTCCTCTAGGGTCTGGTAACCTCAGATCGACTTTGTCTGTATGAATTTGCCTGTTCTAGATACCCCATATAAGTGAAATTATACACTATTTGCTTTGTTTTGTCTGGCTTATTTCACTGGCCATAATGTTCTCAATGTTCATTTATGTAGCGTGAATGAGAGACGTTCATTCATTTTGTATTTATGTATATTTGAAATCAGTTGCAAAATAAAGACCAAGAGTGAGCATATGATATTTTGATATACTCATTTTGATTCACTTTTTGGGGCTTTATTTGAAGTTTCCTACATAAATTTTTAAAATATCATGAAAAATTTGCAATGAGCACTATTATTCTGGAGACTCACCTCATTGCTGAGGTCTACTCCATTTCTAAGCCTTGCAAAATGAGGAATGAGGTGATGCTTTCAGATGGGTTATTATGCAATTCAAAGATGGGATAGTTGTTGCTAAAAATCATGAAAAGGAGATACAGAATGAGGTGGCAGCAGAGTGGTGGTGGTGGTGAGGAGGGTGTGGTGCAGTTGAAGGGTGTCAGTGGCACACTATGCTTAGTAATTTAAAGATACTACATTTTATCAGTGCCATGTTGATGGATACTTTCATTTTCCTGATATTGAAATAACCTGATCAACAACATATGCTACTTATTCAGCCTAGAGAGAATATTATCATCACATTTTTATTGGGGAATTCCTTGCAATAAGTCCATGTCTCTCCAGGGATCTGTAGTTCACCAGATGGAAAAATTGGGGTAGAGAAATATTGCAGCATTGGGACTTGTGCTACGAATATGGACCACGATGTCCTTGTACTTTTGTTTTTCAAGTAATTTGAAATGTGGTTGTTCCAACTGAGAAAGAACATAGAATCCCAAAAAGAGATGAACACAACAGATTTGACATGGGTCCAGTGCTTTTTGTTATTGCTTATGGAGAGAAGAAAAGTGGAAATGATTAGGTTGCCCTCAGCTGTTTGATTGTTGAATCTGAGGCTGTGATTCTACATGGCACCTGCCACTTAGAGAAGTAAAGACAGGGAGAGAAGAGTAGTGGGAAGACTGGGCACCTGGAGATGATACATCCAAGAAAGCAATCACTGAGTATCTCAGAGACCCAAGAAAGATGGTTTAGCATAAAAAGAACTCTCTAGAATAACCTACACTCATTCTTCATTTCGGGGAGGTTTAATATCCAGAAACAAGGATTTCAAGAGTCACCCCATGTCTTGAATTCTGATTTCTCCTAATGCACATGGTAACAATCAGAAAGAATGATAGTATTGGTATATTTCTATAAAAGGTATAATGCATTATACATATGGGGCTTAAATAATGGAAATTTATTTTCTCCCAGTTCTGTAGGTTGGGAGTTCCAAGAATAAGGTAACAACCAATTTAGTTTCCAGTGAGAACTCTGTTTCTGGATTGCATATGGCTGCCTTCTTTTTTTTTTTTTAATTTTTAAATTAAAATACAGCTAACATACAATATTATAATAGTATTAGGTGTACATTATAGTTATTCAACAGTATCCACCTAGCTCTATACAGTGTTAATACCACAGTATTGATTTTATTCCCTATGCTTAAGAAATGATCACCATGATAAGTCCAGCAACTATGGTAAAAACTGTTTGGTGCAGGTGGTACTAGTCAGGGGGATCACTTCCTAAATTACATAAATGTCTAACCACTATGCTGTACACTTGAAACTAATATAAGATAATGTTGAATGTCAACTCTAATTGAAAATTGTAAAAAGGGGGGAAAAGATCAATAATATTTTTGTTTTTAAAAAGGTAACTTTGCATATTAAATTCCCCAGGTTAAATGTTTTAGATGGTAAACAAGAAAAGGGTACCTGGAGATAGCCTTTATTGAGCATGGATGAGTTGGATTGTTATACAGTTCTTAGATCAGGTCTACATAGCAAATATAAATTGGTGATGTAATTAATCCATTTGAATCAATATTATCATTTTACTTATTTAATTTATACTAGTAAATAAGATTTTTAAAACACCGCTGAGTACCTCCCTTTCCTTTTCATCTTGTCTCTCACACTTTTATTTATTTATTTTTATCTTTTGGATGTTTGTTTTGCTTTGTGTGTGTGTGTGTGTGTGTGTGTGTGTGTGTGTGCGCGCGCGCGCGCGGGTGCGCGCGCGCGTTAGGTAGAGATGTCAGTTGAAGTCTTTCTTAAAAGTTCGTGACACTGATTTTAATAAATGAACCATTCCTAAAGAATCTATAGCACATTTACTATTTTATAAGATTGCTAGGTAGTCTGGGAATAAATAAAATCTTTTGAGCTTGCCCTTTTTCCTCTAGTAATTTGTTATCCTGTCCAATTATCTTTAGAATTTGAATAATGTAGATAACTAAAATCAGGAAATTAATTTTTAAGGAAGGAGTAAATTACTGTTATAAAAAGTATAATTTAAGAACAATTTTCCATTTTATAGATTATTACTATTTTTAAATTTGGCAACAATAGACAGTTTTAGTTGAAATAGTTGTACAGCCAACAGAGCCTAGAGTTATGGACAATCAATTAGACCAGCAAGGCCCAGCTGATGGCATCATCAATTTGAACAGGAGCCACATTTCCCAAGGGGGTTTTTAGCTTATCATTGGAGGTAAATCAAATGCATACAGATATCGGACTGCACCTTTAAAAAAAAAATTGTTCAATTCAGCATACCTAATAGAGACAGGATCCAAATAGTAGTTTAAATGTCATTAAAGTTCTTCAAGTAGATTCTGTGGCTACCTGAGGAATACAAATTTGGTTTCTCAATATAACTATTTAAATTGTTAAACGTAAGTCTTTTAAAATTTTACTCTTACATCTATAATGTTAATTATCTGTATTTACAGTAATACTTTTTCACACTCTAATACATTTTCAGAGATTATTCACCCTTTAGTTCAAGGACTAGATGAGATATAGATAACATGTCTTGAAATAATCATGCACTAGAATGATGAGTGTAAAAGAATCCTAAAAATGTTTTATGAAAGAATTTTGTTAGGATCAAAAACTGCAATAATTCTAAATCGACACAACTTTCCCCCCTCTGACGTAAATATTATGCTTTTACACATAAAATATGACTCTGGGCTGTATGCTTCCTGCTTGGGTTCTGCCCTTGGTGTTTATGTTATCATATATTACACAAAGTCATTTTGTGACTAATTTCCAGAGCTCTGAGTCACAGTGTGGCTGTTGCTTATCTTTTCTTTTTTTCTACATGGAACTGCGTTTGGCACTCATTTTTTGGTAACACTCTCACGCAAATGAGTTTTTTGTCCATAATTAAATAATTTTTGTCTCATTATAGTTCTATACTTCTGCGTTATGTGTTTTCCTTTGCTACCAGAAGCAAAGTTAAATATCATTTCATAACTAAAAAGAGACAGTCCATAGTATAGATATATAATTTATTGCTTTAATTTACATAATTGCACTACGTATAGACTTGATCATACATATTTTTATTTAAATATCTTAGAATATGAGCTTTGGTGTTTGGAGACATAAAATATTTCCATAGAAAGATTTATTAATGTTGGCATAAAATATTTAATTTAGATTATAAGAATTCTAATGTTTATATCTCATTTTAAATATCACTAATTAATGCCAAAGAAAGAAGTTTCTTTAAACATAAGGCTCTCAGGTAGTTTATTATATTTCTTTACACATTACTAAATAATATTTAAAAGAAAACCATATCTTCAGAAAATTCCAATAAAACAGGCACAATTGGTAAAGAATTGCCACTATAAACTAAAATGATAAGAAAGGCTACATTTGACCAACTTATTACAAAATTGTTTATAATCTTAAAAGCAAAAACATATATTGCATATATATTTGTTTAAGAACTAAATGCAAAGTGCTGGGAACCGAATTTTGCATTGCAATATGAGTTTACTTTGTTTACAGAGAAGAGTCAATTTTCATTTTAGGGTTACAGACAATAGCCCTCCCCTATCCCTCTTTCCCTCTCAGTACCCTCCTTTTTTCCAAAACAAACAAACAAACAAACAAAATAAAAGTTACTTCTCATGGGCTAGAAAGTATACTGCCAAGTACTCACGTGTAAAATCTCTGAAGAAAGTTCTTGGAAAGATTTTTTCAAAGCGGAGTTGAGGTAATTGTGTTTTCCCTTCCAGGCATTGAATAGAGGATTTGTCTTTTCTACTTCTTCTTTTAAACAGATCAAGAAACTGGGAGTGGAGGATAATGAAGGAAATGCAATCTGATCCGGCTAGCCATGAAAGGGCGAGGTAAGAATCTGACGATTATCCAGCCCAAAGTCGCTCCTGTCTGTTGCAGAAAAGAGGGAGTCTCAGAGCTGGCAGCTGGGAATAACCAGGCTTCCTGTTTAGGTCGCTCCAACTCTCTACAGGCTAGTTTCACCAAACCCTCCAAAGCGTTTGCTATTATGGAGGAAGCAGACAAAGGAAACAGTTTACACTAAGATTTCAGAATTACTGTTTCGAATGACTATTTCTTTTGCTTTCCAGGATTCTTTTTGTAATCAATTGAAAAAAGATACTTCTTCCAGTTATATATTTTTAAACATTATACACTTACTGTTACTTAAGAAATGAACTTTTTTTCACTTTGTTTCTTATCTTCTTCAAATTATTTCATCCACATGGTCAGTATATTTATGAAAAACAATCTGAGAACTACTGAAGCTCCCCCTGATTAGAGAGGCAGTATATTGTATTGTCTATTGTAGAATGTCAGGCTATGAATCCTGCCTCAGCCACTTGCTGGCTTTGCAACTTGGGTCAATTATTTAACCTCTCTGTGTCATAATTTCGGTTTTCCTCAATAGTGGTAATAAAAGTTTCTACGGTTGATATAAGTAGTGAATGAATTTTTATATATGTATATGTATATCTATATATCTATATCTATATCTATATATACACACACATATAAATATATATATATATATAACACTTAAGATAGGCCCCCCACACAATGAACCTTCAATAAATGTTAACTATCGTGTTCATTGTTGTTGTTTATGTTATGTTATTATTATTTTATAAAATGTGTAAATATTTACAGATGTCACTCAGCCTTGCTCTGTGTAGGTTGCTATCATTGAGGTTAACCCTTAGTATTTCCATATAGAATTATGGCCGTATCAGACTAAGATCTCTAGAGATTACATCAGATGGCAGACTATTTTATCATGAAGTTTAAAGCCATTTGATTACAAAATCCATTAGTTTCTTGTTTTTTCTGTCTCAGCTTATCTTTGTGACTTCAGTTTTTCTTGCTTCTTTCCTTTGACATCTGTGGAAGGGGTAACCTGTCCTCTTGTGGTTTTTAAATATTTATTGAATAATTATTAGATGTCTGGCACATAAATTATCTTATTTAATTCTCATAACAAGCTTATGAAAAGGTGCCCTCTCTATGCCCATTGAATGTGATTTGTGAAGCTGTCATTCAAATCCTGTAGTCTGACTTCAGAGTGCAGGTGCTCAAATACTCCTCTATGCTTCTCACCTGTGCTCTGGATTTCATATCATGTTAACAACACAATGTTGCTGTGTAATTATCACCTCACATCCTGTAACTCAAGCACATTCAATGTTCCCTTCTTGTTCCGATTGTTGAGAAAAGTGGCCTGTTTTGGGGCTGAAAGGGAGATTAAGTTTTTGGCCAATCTACAGGCTTTGCTCAGGTAGAAAGAAGTAAGCTCAGCTAATCAGATTTCCTTTTTTGGAAACTTGAACTAACGAGCTATAGAAAAAAGTATACAGTAAATTCCAGACACTTAACTAAAAAGCTGAGATAGAGAAAGGGCTGGCAGCCATAATGATGTGTTCAAGATGATGTGTGGAGGGAATGATGAAAAGAATAAATCAGAGAGAATGTGTGACTCTGAGAGAGGGAACAGGGAAAGAACAAAAGGAGCAAGAGCTAGACTGAGAGCAGGAGAGATGAGACAGCTCTACAGCAACAGCCTTCCTTAGGCCATGTTCAAGTTTTCCTAAGAATTCAAGAACATATCGCCTTGTAATAAAAACCTGTTACCCCTAAAGTCATTTAAGAAATCTCTTTTTCTTATTATATAAAGAACCCCATGCAAAGAGCCACTGCTGAGCTGAAGTTATCTTAAAGATTATTGATTTCATGTTTAAGCTTCACTTGGCATTAATGAAAACTTTTCACCATTTTGTTTCCACATAACTTACAAACTTGGGTATTTTTGTGCTGACAAGAACGTAGGCCTTGTGGTAAACTATTGATAAGATACGACAGCCTGATGCTCACTTACAGATTCTGTGGACTTTGCTTTTCTCTCCCTGAGGCTTACATGAGTTCCTTTGTGAGGTCTTATTACCAGTTTACCATTCCATTGTGTACAACTCAGTCTAAGTTATTTGGATTTTTTTTTTCTCACCAACAATTTGCCTACGGTCCATTGTATCTTAAACTTCTTTATATTAATCAGTATTTGGATGTTCCAAGTACTCACCTAATACTAGATGCTCTCCTTTTCATTCCTCATCATTCTCTGTTATTTTTTTCCCCTCTCACACAATTTGAATAACACGCCAGACTCTTACTATGAACTTATTTATTTCCTGTTCAAGAAATAGAAATAGTCTTCTTTTCTCTATTTGCTGTATGTATTAGGAAACACTTCCTAACTTTATCCATTAAGAATCTTGTCTATTAAAATACATGGAATGTTTCAACAAGTTTAGGTAATTCTATATGACTGAGATAAATCTGGTAAGAAGGTAGTTCTTTAATGGCAATGGGAGAAGAGTATGCATGGTTGCAGGATAGAGAACATCAAAATTAAAAGAATGTTAAAAACCAAATATTACAGAAGTTTTCATAACTATCCAAAACGAAACTAATTTTTTTTTACATCAAATACTCATTTTATGCATTTCTGAATGTGAAAGATTAGATATGAGGTCTGACAATTAAATTTGTGAACTTGGTGCAATGCTGTTGCTAACATTTTTTGATATCAGAGGGATTATTTATTATGAATTTCTACCAACTGGACAAAAAGTTAACAACGTTTACTATTTGTAAGTACTGAAAGACTGCATAAAAAAATTAAACGACCTGAACTTTTCACCAACAATTCATGGCTCTTGCATCACGACAATGCACCAGCTCACCCAGCACTGTCAGTGAGGGAGTTTATAGCCAGTAAACAAATAACTGTATTGGAACGCCCTCCCTACTCACTTGATCTGACCCCTGATGACTTCTTTCTTTACCTGAAGATAACAGAGCTATTGAAATGAAGACATTTTGATGACATTCAGGACATCAAGGGTAATACTATGACAGCTCTGATGGCCATTCCAGATAAAGAATTCCACAATTGCTTTGAAGGGTGGACTAGGTGCTGGCTTTGGTGCATATCTTCCTAAGGGGAGTACTTCAAAGGTGACCTTGGTGATATTCAGCAATGAGGTATGTAGCACTTCTTCTAGGATGAGTTCGTGGACTTACTTGTCCGACGTTGTATTTCATTACTCCATATTTCAATTAATTACCTTTCATAGAAAGTGTGACTGCAGTCATTGCATTAGGGATGAGTCCTTGAGCTTCACTCTTTGTCTCAGTCTTCATCCTTTTATCCAGAATCTAAACCATGTACTGCTTGTGGTTTACTTTTCTAAAAGTAAATTTCTGAAAACTAGAAAACAAATGGAAACGATCCACATTTTCAGATTTCAGATGTAAAAAAAGAATGGTGTCTAGGCTTTGCCAGATTGTATTCATTGAACCTTGGTGTAATAGGTTTGACATATATAAATATGGGTACAAAATTGCCTCTGTGCTTATTTCACCATTAACAGAATTAATTTAGTTCTCAAGGCCCTATTTTTGCTGATGTGAAAAATGCAACCTTGCCTATTCTAGGTGGTTTTCTACTGACTAAATTGCTTGTTAAAATTTAGCCACTTTAGGGTAAACCCAGGCAATGTCTACTGCCCTTACTCATTCTCTTTTCCCTAGGGCATCTGACCCCTTGGAAAAGTTTAGGAAGGGCATATGGTCCCCCTGCTTTTCTCTGTCCTGACAGTCCTCTGCTGAGAGCTCATTCAGCCTGGTCATGTCTGTTACAGTATGGCTGAGATTTTAGAATTAAAAATATGTTCTTGCTTTAGATCCTAGTTCTCACAATGTAAAGCCATAGTTTTTGAAAATATCTTCTCTCTTGTGGGTAGAACTATCCATTCATCAAGTCACATGAAGCTTCTCCTCTTTGCTCTTAGCTTTATCTACCCAGGATAAAAAGTAAAGACAAAAATATATGAAAATAACATATAATGTAGCTGTAAATCAAAATACTGCCAGCTATCATTCATTTGCCCCTTTTTTAGCCAAACTTAGTATCATGCTCATTCTACAAACAGTTGAGATGCCTATGTGCATATACAGAGTTAAGTATGAGTTTGAAGTCAGAGTATTTGCATGATTGATTTTAATTTGGATAGCTTTTTTTAACCATTAAGTATCTCAAGTTTCTTAATTTCTAAATAAATATTTCCAAGAGCAATCTATCTCATATGGAAGCAAGGACAATAAGATTTAAGTCAGGGAGAAAAGGAATATTTCTCTTCTTTTCCTACCTCTCTGTGGTAGATTAGATTATTTTTTCAAATATATCTGCTGCTCCTCCTCTGGGTCCTCCTTGGTAACCAGTGAGAAAAGTGTATTTCTCTCCACGTTGTCATCAGGTTTTGCTACATTACTAACTTCAGCTAACAGAATGAGCACATTAAAAAAAAAAAAGTAACAGCCAAGTAGGTTTTTATGATCTTTATGGGAATTTTATGAGTTTTATTGTTCTACAATTTTTTTTCCTCCATTTTCTCTGCCAGATAACTCTCATGCTCCACATTAAGGCTATTTTTTCAGGTAGGATCACAATAAAGAAAAAATGGTGCACCAACACAGATGACCCACTAAGGTCATGGAAATTAAACCCTTTCTTGGTAAAGACCCTGTAGATTTTGGAGTAGTTTGCTATCAACCATAACTCAGGCAGAAATGAATAATGTACTCCCTACCCATATACCTTCTTCCCTCGAAAATGTTATCTTGACTGCATCCATTTTATTACATTAGCTAACACTGGGCACTGAACTAATTGGGCCCTTGGACCCTCTCCCCACTGTCTCCTTAGTACCTTATCTTCTTTTTGTTCCTATATACTTCATTGCAGGATAAGAAGTAACTTGGGGAGATATTGTCAGGTAATTTACTGATGGTAAGCAGCAGCATACACAAAATTAATAATTGATTTGAAACATGTTGTACATTCAAGTAAGATCTTTTTAAGCAGTATGGTGGTAAATACAGTGTTTTCAGAAATTTTATGGTCACAAACAAGTTGACTC